TCAAAAAGGAATTGTAACCGCAAGAAACACCCAGTTTATTACTCTAGGGTACTAGGCCCAAAACGAAAAAAAACACTGCTGTGAAGGCAAGGATTGTCTCCCAGCACGGGGAGAATACAAACTGTGAGATGAGTGAGACGAATGAGGATGCATTTCTGTGTCCTCCAACGCCATGCAAAGCTGCGGGCCTGTGTACTAAGTGTTTAGTTAGAACTGTCGTCCTGTTGTCTTCTGGGCTGTCTGTGAACATTTGAGTCTATGAGTTTTTGAGATGTTGGGATAAGGTAGGCTAAGTACTGGAATCTAGGTCACATACCAGCACAACACAAGGTATGCAATGACGCTGCCGTAACACCTGGCTATTCAACGTGTGTGATCGGATACGCAGGCCGATGCACTGGCGTACGGCAAGACCCCGGAGCAGCTCCGGAGTGACAACGTGCCGGACTACTTGATTCCCCACCGCGTTTTCACCGGCAACCGGCCGTCTATGTCCGTTATGTTGCCCAGCTGCACGGCCTACACGGTGGGCCAGCTGCTGTCCATGTACGAGCACCGCATCGCCGTACAAGGCTTTATCTGGAATATCAACTCGTTCGACCAGTGGGGCGTCGAGCTAGGCAAGGTGCTGGCTTCAAAGGTGAGGTCTTCAACGATTCAAGGCTTGGAATGTAACCGGCAAAGTTGGCGGACTGCCAGTCTGCCTGTCTAATGTCTGGAAATTCACAATGTTCCCAACCTAGCTTAGCCCGGACGTGTTCCTGGTCCTCCGTACATGCGATGTCTGTCTGAGTAACCATCGTATTGCTTTCGTCATCCAACCGCGTCCTCGCTCGTTCTAACCTTTTTCATCTGCAGGTACGCACCGTCATGAACAGCGCCCGCACACGGGACCGCAAGGTTCTTCCGCAGGATGGCTTCAACTACAGCACCACACGCATGATTAACAAGTACCTTGAGGGCAAGACGCAGGTCCTCTACCCCGAGGGCCACGATGTGTTCCCCATTGACATGCTTCGCGCGGGGCATTGAGCGCAATGAGGGGCATCAGTGCAAAGCAGATCGGGATTTGCGAGAGGTGGGCGCAGCGTATTGTACGTGTGGCTTTCCTGCGTTGCATGTGGCAATCTGTTTGGGGAGATGGTTTCTCCCTCTAGTACACGCCACATCCAGGCGTTGTGACGGTGATTTGTTTTTTTGTCGGATGCTGAAGGGATCTGCATTAAGCTGGCACCAGGATCATTTTTTTTGAGGTCGGGAGTGCGCTCTGACACACCTCGATGTCTGTGCTACGGTCCTCGCTGAAAATGCGTCGGCTATTGTTGACTTGCTCTTGCGTTCACTGCGGGCCCTTCAATCGTACAACTTTGTTAGTCCTCCGTGTTGTGGGAGTGAGGCGGCGTGTAGTGGACTTCCAAGGGCAAGGATAGGTCGTAGCCAAAGGGACGTACGGCTTGCGAGTGGAGTATTAGGGCACGAAGGCAGGGTCAAGAAGAGGCATCCGATGTTGTGGGATGGGTCACTGGCGTCTTGCTAAGGACGATGGGAGGTATGGGCAGGGCTTATCCTGGGAGCTGTGCTCTTGGCCCCGTTGCCAACGGGACTGGAGTGTTTGGCTTACCCTGGAGTTTGTGTGTGAGGCCTTGCGTTGAGGGGCACAATTCGCAACATTCGTTTGGCTTGTCTCTAGTCGGACCGCCGACCGACGAGAGCCGTGGCAGCACCACCACTGCTTGTACCACCTGCAAATAACTGGTTTTTTGCTCAGGCACACGCGGTCGGCGGCGAGTTAAATACGTGGGGGCGCTGCATCGGACTGATTTTCCCGTCTAGTCTGGTGCCTGTGCATCCTTGTACGGACGCAAGCTTTGTTTTTTGATTGAGCAGATTGACGAGTCGAGGGGGTGCGTGAAACTGTTTCTACGCGAATGACGAGGGATCCGTTACCCGGCCACATGCAGCACACGTCGCTCTCCGGGCCAATCAGCGGAGCGGGGGAGGAGAAGGGTCGATGGGAGAACTGCCGGGGCTTCAGCAGCAGGAGCAGCATTCACCGATTATGTCTATGGAAAGTACGTTATCTGGGCGGCTCCATTTTCTGTTTGGGACATGTCTGTCGTCGGTTCGTACTGATTCGGGTCTTTTTGGTGATGGTTTGATCTGGGGAGGGTACGTTGGGGTTTACAAAGGGTGTGTGGCAGTTGATGTGTACTGCAGTATTCCTTCATATGGCGATGCTTCTGTGTGCAAGTGCGGTAAAGTGTTACGACGGTTTGTGTGCAGTGCATTCAGACGCTGCTCCGTTCGGCTTATGGAATGGGATGACATATTGCGTTGTTTTAGTCGAGGCGGTTACTTCGTAGGTATTATTTGTGTGTGACGACGTAATGCAAGTACGTATTCTTTTCGTTTGTCATGGCACGTGGCCGAGATGCATGCTGCGCTTGTTTTCTTTACACAAGATTCATTTTCCGAATATTTTCCTTGTAAAAATATGAAATGATTGAGGTGTACTGCGAAGGGAACTTAGAGATATTGCACATATACATATTCTAATACGAAGAGAAATGTGCAAAAAAATATACGTGTGCAAACCCTAATTTACAAGTTCAATTGTTTCTTCCTTCCAATGAATCCCGATGGCCTCTGCTTTCGGGCCAGGCGACTATAATGTCTAAACACAAGTTATGTGAGTTTTGCGCGTGCCGCCAGCAGCAGCATGGCGTAATCATTATGACACACACATAGGTGTCCTTGCCTAGAGCAATTTAGATACAGAGCCTTACCAAAATTACTTACGATACGACACGATGAAGGAAATGGAATGTCTTCTCGTCACCTACGTCTTTGGCTTCAGCAGCTGATACATGATCCCGACCCTACTGCGCGTCCGTATTTGCGATAGTTACATTGGACCCTTGAGCCATTATCCGTTGCATCATTACCAATACATAATGATTTTTATCATTAATCCATATCCTTTATCTTATACGAAAGGATTCTCGCCAGCCCAGCATTGCATTCCTACTGAGCGCTATACTGTTTGCTAGTAAGTCACGTTACAATTGTCCGTATCTACTGCCGACCGAACAAGACGACGCAACATACTCCTCCTCTATCAGTGCCAGCTGACATCGCTTGGGTCACTTCTTCTTGTCGCTCGGCACCGGTAGCACCTCTGCAGTCGAAAACAGGGGAGGGAGAGAAAACAGGGGACAGGTCTCCCAGGGCTGAATGCAGTATACATGTAGCAGCTCCACACCCATAAGCCTAGACTGCCCCGGCCTTTCCCCGGCCTAAAAACACCTTACCACGGGATGTCACACTATTTCTTATCATGCAACCCCTCCCCTACACAAACCCAACGCGTGCACCTCACCCACCGACCCATACACGCTTCCCTTCTTCAACCACACACCTACTCGCGCGTCGCCCCCTCCCTCACACTTAAATCGCTTCCCCGCAACCCCAACTTACTGAGCGGTTCCGGCAGTTGCTGCGGCAGTAGCATGCGGTTTAGAATGTACAGGGAGCCCGTGCAGGCGTCCCCCAGCCCCATGGCTACCACACGGGCGTCCGCGGTGTTTGCGTTTGTCACCGTGATGCTGTCGGACGACACAGTGACGGAGACGGGGCCTGCGCTGGGACCCATCGTGGTGTACAGCTGGGACTGGAGCTTCGTTGGCGGCAGATTCTGGGCGATGGTGTGAGCCCATACCAGTGCGCGCAGATTGTTCCTGTGTGCGGCGGTAGTCGGGGCGGCAGGATTGAGATGCGCACACAAACACCGGCCCGGAACGTAGATCCCCCAGAGGGAAACTATTTTCTTGTTTGGGGAAATCGTAAAACATCATCAGGGCCTAGGGCCTGAAGGGTGAAGGCGGAGGGGGGGGGCTGGGTGAATGTGTATGTATGTGTATGATGTGTGAAAAAGGGGGGTATATCTTCGCCCGTGGCAGCTACCCCGCGAAACCCTGCCTTCCCCGGTATTTCGGGGCACCCTCATCCAGTCACCCTAGTCAACTTCTCAGTGGATCGCTCAGGTTCCGCACCCACTACCAGCATCCAACGGAATCTGCCGGGTCGACAGCGGCCCAACTCCATTCCTGGTCGGCTCGCAGGTTAACTTTATCCCAGGTCACCACCGTCCATCAACTAGGGGCGCAATGCCTTCCACCATCGAAAGGATTTTTGACCCAAACGGGTATGTTATGTATGTGTGTGTTTCGGGGGGTTTGGGGAGAATTGCGACCTGGTGGAGTGCACTCAGAGGAATGACGTGCACACACAGCAGGCCGCTGTGTACGCGCAAGCCAGACCTCCTCTGTCCGGCACTAATGTGCTCATGCAGTGGACGCATCAGTAATACACATATTCATACTACACATATTCATATCAGATATGAAGTCAATTGCGGACCTCTATGGGTTCCGATGAAGTTCAAAGAGGAACGCGGCGGGCCGGGAGTTGTGCAAATGGGAGATGGGAGTACAGCTGCAAACCCCACAATATGCACGCCACCAAAGTCCCAAAACGGAGTCGACAGGACCGCCCTTTCGGAGGGCGACCCGCTAAAGTGGGATGGGTCATCAAAAAGCCGACCACAGAATAACCCGAAGCAGACGCATAAGAAAACTCGGAAATTGCCCTGTCCCTCCCTCCCTCCCTCCCTTTCCCTCCCCATCCCCCTCACCAACTCTGACCCAGAATGTCCTCGGGCGTGCCCAGGTTCATGCGAAGGGCACCTTCACGCCAGGCCTCATCGTTGGGAGCCAGCAAGGTCAGCTCAGTGGAGGCGTTGTTGAACAGCAGCGTAAGGCGGGGCGTGTCAATGGCGCTGATGCAAGTTCCCCGGGCCCGGCGAGAGGGGAAACGGGGTTATTGCGCGCGCGCGTGTGTGTATGTGCCCAGAGCCTTTGTATATATATACGTTTTTTATATATATATATATATATATTATACGTTTTCACGAACGCGTAAATGGGGCGAATATGGCGACTGCACGGTAGCATGGCGTGTTCCACTACACGCCACATTGCCGTGAGAGGCCACCATCCCCAACCCCAAACCCCACCCCCCCGGGTGGTAATCATCCGCAGGATCCGCAGGTTTCTCAATTAAATCTTAACCAACCCCAAAATCCAATGTACGGCGATCGCCACGAGCGCAGTACAGCTGCCGGAAGTGGTTGGGATTGGGCCCAGGATGATTGTCTTGGGGTTAGTAGCCATACGGCAACGATTTTGGATCACGAATGCAAAGAATGGAAGCGAATAAATGCTGTTGGAAGGGAAAACGTTTAGCAGAGCTTGGTAACCCGGCTTCAACATCGGGTGGAAAGGGAAACGGAACCAACTCGCATACCTGAGCATGTACGACAGGTCCGGCGTACTGCGAAGGGCATCGAGAATGGTGCCCTTGGGGTTGCATGGCTTAGCACCGCCCGCTGCGGCCCCCCCGGCGGCTGCGGCTGCAGCTGCTGCAGCCGCAGGGAACACGACGGGACCGGAAAACTCTTGGAAGGGCGGCAGAGCCTCCAGGGACGGCCCGGGAAGCAGCACGTACGACACGAAGTACAAGTACGATCCGCAGACTCGGAACCCCAGGGAGATGCGCGCCGGCTTGTTCGAGTTGCCGAGGACCTCACCCTTCACGAGGAGTCCACACGAAGACATTTACATTTTATAAACACATAACATTTTTATACACATTACATCCACATTTTATACATATTACATTTTATCATATGAATTTAGTGGGAGAGAGAAAGCAGCAGCAAAGCATGCAAAGGCGCCCCCTGGAACCCCACCAGCAGGGGGGCAGCCTGCCACGGCAAGGGCCTCACCATTTTCTCGATTTTTGAGAAGAAAGAAAGATCAGGAAAACGTCTCCGTCTGTGTACCGGGCGTTGTCGTGGTTAGTCGTTTGTTCCAATGAGAAGTGGGGTGTAAAGAGGGGAGTTTTATGACCACGGTGAGAAGGGGCCACCACCCCCAGTGTCCCGAATGCAACGGTTCTTTGGTTTCGGTGCACCCCCACGGCCCCGGCACTCCATCACTCAACTCACCAACTCACCTCAAAGGGCTGAGGCACGCTGATAGCCTCCCCCGCCCAGCTGGTATCCAAAGCCGGTGTCACCTCCAGAAGCTCCGGAGCCACCGGGGTGGGGAGCAGATGATATAACAACACGAACCGCAGCTGCAGGGCATTAGCTAGGAGATCCCCCATTGCGATGCCGCTGTCCGCCAGGAACTGCGTAAAGGCGCTGTCGTCACCGTCGCCGTCGATATTATCGTCCACATCCCCAAACCCAGCAGTAGTATTAGATAGTGTTAAATCGTGTTATTGTTGGCGGCGGCGTCGCAGTGCAGCGGCGTCGCGGTGTCGGAAAGGAGGGTCATCCGGATATCCGCCGCCAGCAGCGTTTTGAACACCGTCGACGACGTCGTCGTTGGCGCCGTTTGTTGAGCGCCGTCAGGACAACCATTACCGCCGCCGCCGCCGTAGTCGCCAGTCGTCAGTCGTCAGTCGTCAGTCGCCAGTCGCCAGTCGCCACCAACATCGCCGAGCAGCAAACGGAGCATAGACAGGTGCAGCGCGAGCGTTAAGGCAGTGCCTGGGATGGGACGAGCTGTCCTTTAGATCTACTATTACCCAGGGGCTACCAGCAGCAGGGCTACAACACCACTGCACAGCCGGGCGCCCCCACAGCGCTGTTGTCACCCCCCGGCCGGCCCCCACCGCCCTAACGGAAACACCTCCGCACATTTTCACAACACCACTCATTGCGCGACTATAAACGGGAGACGCCCCTTCGCCCAGACTGCCCGAGCTGCACACACACACACACACACACACACACACACACACACACACACACACACACACACACACACACACACACACACACACACACACACACACACACACACACACACACACACACACACACG